TATCTTTATATATTTTTATTTATTTAATATAAGTATTTAGATAAAATATGTATAGACACAGCCTCTTACACACATCTTTATATGTATATAGACATATACATATATCTTTATGTATATCCACAGTCACACACATACCTTTATACATATATAAACCTTCTCTCATATATATATATAGGGATGTATGTATGTTTGGAGATACATATAAGATACATTATACACATATGTAATATAAGTATTTAGATAAAATATGTATAGACACAGCCTCTTACACACATCTTTATATGTATATAGACATATACATATATCTTTATGTATATCCACAGTCACACACATACCTTTATACATATATAAACCTTCTCTCATATATATATATAGGGATGTATGTATGTTTGGAGATACATATAAGATACATTATACACATATGTACAAACATGTATTTTTATTTATGTTGTTTTATATATGTATGTATATCTATGTATGTATATTGGTTTGTGTGTATATATGTGGGATATACATATATAATACATTATAGATTTATATGCATACACATATACACACAATTTTATACATATAATATGTATGTATATACAGACACATCCTTATATAGATGTATGTATCTTTTTAGATATGTCTGTATTTCACTGTGTGTATACATACGATATATAGGGATGTACATATGGGATATATGCATATATTATACGTGTATACACATATATACATACTTTCTATATGTTATATGTACGTGTATATGCAGACACTTTTTTTAATATATCCCCTGGCTTTTATATTTTATATATGTAAGGGGGGGGGGGGGTGGGGGGTGCACACCCCCTGCCCCACCTGGCTTACCGTGCCCCTCCTCCCAGCAACGGCAGCCCCGTGCCAGGCAGGCGGTGCCCAGCCGCCCGACACCGCAAAGGCCCCTTGGCCCTGGGCTGGGGCTGACCCGCAGCGCGGGGCCTGCCCAGCCCCGACCGCATGCAGAGAGCCCTCCGTGCCGGCGGGACGCCTGCCCGGGGACATCCATTTGAAGCCTGACCTCAGGTCACAGACCGTGCCTGCCACTGAGGTTTCCTACCATTCAGTTCAACCTTTCTGAAAGGTTCCCAGCATGGTGCTGGGCTAAGCCAACTCCCCGCTGCTTTTCTCTTCATTTATTTTGTCCACGCTGTTCATTCTCGGGCCCATTCGAACCGCTCCGCAGACTGGACAGCCTAGCTAGGGGGAATTAACCTCTCCCAGATCGCCAAACTATTATGAGTGCCTTCAGCAGGAGCAAACCTGGGGCTCTTCAACCTTTAGAGAATTACTACTGGGGGACAAACTTCCATGGAGCAACCCAAAAGATGGCACGGTGGGTTTCATTTCCAGGATGGATCTACATCATTGTTCAGTCTCACCTGGTTTATGGCACATGCACCTGGTTTACGGTGCATGGCAAAAATGCAGTTCACATTTACATTTTCAAGCAAAACTTACTTACCACTGCTAGGCTCACTGCGGTATCGACTGATGTAATTATTCATGTCATCCTCTGAAAGAACAAAAAGGCAGCCATTAGAAGACTATTTATTTGATTAAATGGTTGAAATTCCACCCCATGAAAGGCTCTCCTCTGCCCTGTATGCCCAGAGCAGGTACACTTACACCACCGAGTCATCTCCTTCCACACGGTTACTCTTCAGAAAGGGAGGCACTGCGTACCACTTGTGACCTGAGCTGCCTTCTCGCTCACGTTCACATTAGTCTCTCCCTGGTGAGACCCCGCGCCCCTGGGAGAGCCCAAGCACCCCACTCCCTACCAGTCTGCAGCCAGCCCCTTATTCTGCCAAGGAGCTCTCCAGGTAGGGGCACTGGGAGGACAGGTTTTATTTCTCCTATAGGGATACTTCTATTTTCTTTCAATTTTTTTTTTTTTTTCCATGTGGCCCAACACCGCTCCTCATTTTCATTTGCAATCCCTTCCTGGGACCTATGCTGCTGCCATGCTGAACAGCAACGCCATAACCATTGCTCCTGAGCAGCTTCCCTGTGGTTCTGCACTCTCTCTTTCCTTTTATAGTGTTTTTAACTTGTTCCTGTGAAACGCAGTTGACCTAAAAAAAAAAGAGGAAACACTGTCCAGTATGTTTCCAGAAGAATGGCTAGAACTTCCCCTGTTCTGCCTTGGATGACAAGGCCAATAAAAGCCACACGAGTTTACCAAAACAAGTGGAAATGCCTCTCCAGCTCAGCACAAGCGCTGCTGTGGGAAACAAAAGACCAGCCAGACAAGCGAGCTCTCTAGCAGTTGTAAATCTAGATGTAAAACTAAAATGTAGTTTTAATGTGTAAGTCCCTACTTCTAAAATAATGTCTTCTTTTATCCATTCAGAATGAATAGAGAGAGTTATTTTGTTGTATATTACATATACATGTCAGATATAGCATATTAACATTACATTATCTGTTGGCTTAAAATATACTGTAAAGAAAGATTTTTACAAGTCAAGGGTGTAGCACTACACTTGTAGTACATACATGAGAGCTGCACCTGAACTTCAATAATGGTAAGGTAAAAATGAAGACATGACCGCAAAAGGGAAAGCAGCAGCTACGTTGCATATACAGATTTTAGATGCTGCAGATGACGGTGGGATTTCCCGTTACCTTACAGAAAAGCAGAACATTTTACAGTTGCCGAAAAAGAAAATAACAAACTCCTCTTGTTGCAATTCTGAGCAGCACGCAAGTATCGCTGCTAAGAAAACAGTATCGGCAATCCAGGAAGAATTTCAAGCTTCCAAGCAACCTGACCTGCCCAATTTGTGGTGTATCGTGTGCTCTAAAAGCATGCTCTCCTTTTAAGTGCTCTTTTTGATACCATGTTTCAGGAAACCATGCTCATCCCTTTGAGCCAGATTTCCTTCATCCCCCTGGGTCTCTGTGGCTACAGTCCTGCCTTTTCACAGCACATTGCGGTTTGCAGGTGAAAGAAACAGATGTTTTCTGGGGAACACTTTCTCCACACAACAAGACCCAAACCACTAAGCACTCTGTACCTGAAATAGCTGCACTCATAAGAAGGCAATCTAACCTGACACTGAAAGGCAGCATGGTTGTTTTCCTTGTTTCATTGGATCTTAAAAGCTTTTTTGGCCCTTGTTGATCTTTAAATGCCTGCAGTCAGAGGTGTGGCTTTGTGCTAATGTCTGAGTTTAAAAAAGAGGCCTCAGAGTAGCTCAAGGCAATGCCACTGAATTAGGAGAACATTGCAAGGCTTTTCAGCTATCTGCTACTAAAATACACTTCATTTCAATCATGCATAATTTATACTCTAAATGCCACCAAGCCTGCCAGCCTGTATAGATACAGGTTCTTGTTCAGGCATGGAACCTTCAGCTACAGTCAGAAAATACCTGCATATCTCTATTTCTGGTAATGCACTTTCATCATATTTAACAGAGCCTAATTCTAAGCAGAGAAATGAGGAAAACAGAACTACAGTTTGGCCTGGACGAGGGCGTGTTCTGCACGTGGGGGTCGTCCCTCCTCATCACCTGGCAAAAACACAAGACCACACTCTGTGCAATGCATGGGGGACTGGGGTGCTCTCCTTTCCTTTGGCTCTCTTTAAAGTCTGCACCAAATGCCAAGATCCTTTGCCCTGAAGACAGAAAACAACTTGCAAAAGTTATTAATCTGCTTTTCATGTCTTATGGCAAGGCTCAAGTCAAGTCTCCTTTAGGATTGCATACATTTACTGCCCTGGCCATCTGCCTATCAACTAACAGAATGTACCAGGGCACTGTTTTCAAACCGATCAGTTGCTTTCAAACCAATTTAGCAAAGAGATACAGACTACTCTTTGTATCAGCAAAGGCCAACGCCGAACACCTGAAAAGGAAAGCCTGTAATGCACTCACTCAGATCCCTTTGAGTGCTGAGGAAAATCACAGATTGTCCTGGCAGCCTGTGACCGCTTGCACACAAGATTGGGAGAGCTGCCTCGCTGCCTACTTTCATGTTATTATGCGATGGCCTTACTAACGTCATCGGTTTACGTTGCTTATCTATCTATAAATAAAAAAAATATATGTATGTAAAATATAAAATATGTGTGTGTGTGTATATATTTACCTTGAATAGTTTCTTATGAATAAAAAACAATAAAGAGTAATGGAATAACAACAGCAGAATAAATATTTCAACAACAGATTAAGTTTCTGAATGATTACATTAAAGCAAACTGACAATTAACAAACTCATCTTAGTCATATGGGAGTCACAGCTTCTTTGGGCATAAAAGGCTAGAAACAATTCCAGTTATCTCTCATTATATTCCACATTGCTGAAAGCAAGGAGTTTAAAAAAAACCACCACAAATATACAACTGAAAGCAACTATTCGTGCATATAAAATGTAGACACAAATAAAAAGTACGGTACTGCACAGTACTGTGGAACACTGCTTAAGTACTTTATGGTGATTTACAATGAGATGAAGTCCCCCCTGCTCAGTATGTGCCGTCAAATGGGATCAGGAGTACAACTACATTTGCAGCTGGCGGCATGTAGGAAGCTCGTATGGGTAAGTAGGGGAGACCAGCTTTTACAAGAGGGGCAGATTGCTTATATTATTTAAATTCTACATGGTGTTTTCTGCTGTCAGTGTATTTTAGTTTCAGCTCCAGAAAGGGAGTTGTCTTAAGAAATACTTCATTCTTCATAGTTTCCCTGTTTTTTTTAAAACTTTTTTTTTTCTTATTTCTGCCACCTTGGCATTTGCAGGATCCAGAAGACTTAATTTTCCTCCTTTCCTAAAAATAAACCCATCTCTTCAAATATACAGCAATGTTACCCTGCACTTCCTTTTCCAGAAGAGAAACTTTCCATTTAAAAGTCCTTAGCTATAACGATGCCCAAACAGTATTGATAGTAAATTAAGGAACCGACAGTAAGCAGAAAGAAAAAGCATCTCCCTCTTATTTCCTCTGGAAATGGCAACCTTAGAAAAATGTCTACGGATGGTGATTCAGATCCTCTTGCTAGATGCACCAGGAGGAATCATAGAATCATGGAACCATTTAGGTTGGAAAAGACCTTTAAGATCATCGAGTCCAACTGTAAACCTAACACTGCCAAGCCCACCACTAAACCATGCCCCTAAGTGCCACGTCTTACCCCCAGGAAATCTGGTGACAAATCTGGTGATGAAGATCCAATAGTTGTGAGTTGAGAATGTAGAATGGAAAGAGTGAGGCAGCTCTTCCCCATGTGAAAACCCATCCTAACCTGTGGTGAACAAGAATGGTTCTACAATCTTCCCTGGAAAGCGAGAGCGATGGGAAGCAGTAAGATATGCAGCAGCACTGCGGAGGAATTCAGCCGAGAGAAGGTTTTGCTGGGCCGGGAAAGGAACGAGCAGAAACAGGCTGTTCTCTATGGTCCACGAGCAGTATTTGCTCAAGTAGTGTAGGGTGTGAACGACTGCCAAAATAGCATGACAAAACGATGAGACACCTGGAACTGCTTCACCTACTAGTGGAAGACGGCAACTATATAACTGAAAGAGGTAAGGCAGCAGAGTAATGTGGGACCACAGATCGACAGGAGGGCTGACTCCAAGAGGATCAGGACTTTTTGCTAGACAGAAGAGAGTGTCTGGTTGGGAAGGTTGCTCAGACTCCTACCTATCTCGCATAAAACCACACCAGCCTTCCTTGACACTGTAACCAACCACTTCTGTGAGCCTGTAAGTGCAGTAAAGTCAAATCAAGAAGGGGAAGTCAGTCTCATCTCTTAGCCTGCTACCCAAATCTCTGTTATTGAAAAAACGTGCGGTTCTTGGTCAGGATCTGTCTGACAGCTACTGGATTTTGCCTGATGAAGGTTTTCAAATTATCTGCCTGTTCTTTTCCTGCAAGATTCAGACCACACACTAAAACGATTCAGGGAGTAATAAACTATTTAGAGTACAGACCCATATAATCTCATCTGACCCAAGAGACAACGTTGCAATCTCCCTCTCCTGGCCCTATAAAAACCTAATAAATTTGGTGAAACGCATAAATGACATTCCACCCAAGGCAGATCTCTCTCTTAGTTCTATAATCCCTCAACGGTGACCTTTAATTGTTTCATCAATGACTTTAGTGAATGAGTTTGCAAAACCCCTGCATACAATAAATACCATTTGCACATCTTTTAGATTAGAGGCCATAAAAAAGGGATTTCTTTTGAAGTATTTCATTATTATTTTACTTCACATTTTTATTGCCATTGATTGTACTGCCTTCTGTCTCTCAAAGCTGAATTTTCTGAACTGGAAGGTTATTTTTTCTGCTGTGTAGCCTCCCACTGAGGATGTGAGTCCTTAGAGTAATGTCTTACCCCGACTTTCCTCCAGAAAGCAATCTTTACTGGGAGGTTTCTAAAGAAGCAGATCTTTCATCTCCATCACTGCTATCTGACACTGGCATCTTCTTAAAGTACCACTACCACTTAGAAGCATTTGGGAAAGAAAAGTGGGATAAAATGCACTTTGCAATAAACC